AAAACAAGTGCTCCTTGTCCTAAGTATCTGCAGTACATCTCCATTTAGGTCGGGTGGAGATGCCGCGTCCATCCTTTTTGCGCCTGACTTGTTGGCGACATCCTCCTGATATTCCCTAAAAGCCGCGCGAACTAGAATTAACTTTCGCGGCACTGATGCTCTTGAACAAATACGTGTGCGAGAGGTATGTCACGACTGCTCCTGGCTAGGTAATATTAGTTTCCGAAAATTCACAGCAAAAAAAGGAAGTAGACGACGATACTGAGTAAGAACTTCGCTTACGGAAAAAAAACGAAAATAGATAGATTGAATTGTAGCTCGTTCTGCAATGCTGACTCCATATCGATCGATTGGCAACTGTCGGCGACATTGAAAAAACCTGAATACTTGTATTCTGATTGACGTTGAGGGCAGACTAAAGACTGCTGCTCCTCGGCTGACGAAAAACTGGAGGGGTCCCCATAAAGCCAAGCCCGCGACCTGACCTAGATCCCGCCCCTTAGCGCGGGCTCATCTCCCTGCCAAGGCGTTTGCGAACGCCAGAGGTCACTATCACGTCGATTGCGACCCCTCCCTTCCCAGGGGTCACGTACAACACGCTATGCTTGCCTGTATAACTCTTTCAAAAAGATCATATACAGAAAAGATTTACGGTCGATTATGCTGTCCTGCTGTCTGCATTAGTCATGTGCTACCGCAGAAAAATAACACAGAATTCAAAGATTCAGAATTTCGCTGCTACAGGCTTGTTTTTCCTTGAGTTACGAAACTATAAGATTACTGAGGTGAGAATGAAGAAGAAGAAGGAGCCATTAAATATCGTCTGTTCCCCAAACTTGCTCCGTTACAATCAACGTGGCTGCCTTTCGACCTTTCTATCACGTCAACTTTAGAAGAAAGTTCAAAGCTTGTAATGGAGTGGATTTGATGGAGTTGTGTCGGTAGACTTGCTCCGATTTTGCTACGTTTTACAAACACAATAGTCGCGGTAGTCGATTTCAAGTGAACAACCCTCAACATGAATACAAATCTATATACAGCACATGTATCGGTCATTGCAATTTGCGATATCAACATCGAGTGAGCGCCTTAAATTGCTGGAATTAACTTGTCAAAGTCAGCGTCCAGGCAAGTCTGAATTATGAGGATCTTACGGAGAAAAATATCTTGAGGCTACTAAAGCACTGCTCAACCAACAGCGAGAAATTCACTCACGACTGAGATAATCGCGTCCAAAGTGGACCATAAGATCGTATTAATGGACGTGCATCGCGCTAGCATCGCGCGGACCCACACAGGACTAATAAGTCTTGCTATGAAACATGCGAAGCGAGGCAAGTCCTCCATTGTTACGATCCTGAGGTCTAGTTTGGAAGCGACTATCTCAGCCGTGAGAGCACCATCTGAACTGATGCTTGGGCAGTATCTTAATTAGGACTTAAAATTATTATACTTTGCACATCAGACTTCCATATGCCCAAATTTGCCTAGGCCTCGAAAAATTCGGAAAACTAGACTCCCAAAAACCCCTTCATCTCGAAAAACAGCCACATTGATGGTATAAACGGCTTCAAGATTCATGTAAAAGCGGTTGCGAACTTTCCGTAAATTGTTGAACCTCCACATTATAGTACTGTTTTCGTACTCTCTCGTTACCAAAAACCGCCACGCTGTAAAGGCAGTGGAACGGCAGAAGTCAACAACTCAATAACGCGGTAGGTTATCGTCCAAGCTTGAAAGAAGTGCAAACCCGGTCGCACAGTATGCCTTCCCTGCCGAGAAAATCGCTCTCAACCTTACACGCGCAAGCCAATCTTACAGCGCTCGGACGATCCAAGTCCCCTCTCACCATCGGTAGGCGCCAGACTATCGGCTTACCTGCTTGTGCTGCAGAAGCGCGCAGAATTAACATTAGTTCTGCCCAGGACCTGCAGCTGAAGCAAGCAATCGAGCAC